GTATTTAAAGTCAGGACTGTACGAGGAATATTATTAGTCATGTTCTAAATATAGCAACTATAATACAACTGTACTTTTTTTACTTTGGGATTAAAATTTTGTTTATTTCTAATTCATAATTGTCCTAAGTCGTCATAATTATGAAATATTTCTTAAAACCATTGTTGTTTTGAAGTGGTTACCACCGTAAAGAGCTATGTGTTAGAGCCGTATGTTATGAGAGCTGTGTTTTGCTTAAAAAATGCAAGCATTGTAAGCGTACCCTGCATGTGATATTCATATACGATTTTTTATATCCTGTTTTAATCGACCATAGATTGCAAGAACATTTCTCAATGCAAAATAAAAATTATACAATTAGAGGTCGATAAAATTATAGTTATAGTTTAGAATGAAGAACTAACTGTATTATATCACAAGAGTTTTTGTTCGAATAGTAGAAGAAGTTTGAATTTAGTCATGAATCATATTTCATGACTCTAAGATGCAATCATACATTTAAATTAGGGGCGCCTGCATTAAAGTGATGGAATGCTACTTTTTTTTTAGGGACTCATTATATATAGATGTTTCAATTGAGTTTTGTTGATAGGTAATAAGCATTTAAATATGAGATAAGAAACCTCTTCAACTGGGCTCCTATTAGATACTAGTTAAGTGATTTGATTTTCAATCTGTCTATTGAACTTATTTTCATACAAAATAAAGATGTAAGATTATATTTGATCCACTTCAATGAGTTTAAGAGCTGATTGACTGTCTATATAAAAGTATATAGTTTATGTAGAGAACAGTTATTAAAAATAATAATTCATATAAACTCCTTTATTCTTTTTTTTTTATTCTTTTTTTTTTATATTCAAAATATAAACATATATATTTACATACATATGCTGTGATATTTAGTAGAGATTTTGGTGTTCTGTATTTTGAAGGAATTTTTAATATTTTCATTATATGCCATTATTGACCGCTTTTTGCCTGCTATGTTAATTGTGTCACTCATACGTCAACGTAAAAATATGACCACATTAAGTTTTTAATTAATTGCTCATTTAATTTTACACATATTATTTAAAATAAATGCTACAATTTTTATTGATCAATCCATTTAAACATTTTTAAATAATTGATTTACCTTTTTTCATAAATTAAGAAAAGTGAAATTTACATATACATATATATATAATTGGCTTCGTTTGAACTCATGTCGTTGATTTTATGCACAACATTTATTTACATAAAATTTATACTTTGCATATACAAACAAATTGGTCTCTTTTTAATGACTTTATATATAAAAAAATTATTATTTAATTAAAATGAATATGTTAAAAAAGCCAATAAAATGCTTACATGAGATCGCAGGTGTTTACGAACATAAATATGCTTGCTGTACATTTTGTCACATTTTAAATAAATATTGTTAACATATACTTAAATATAATATAAGTATTTTTTTAAAATTACCAGCATGAATCAAATAAAATATATTTAACACAAAAAAAAAAAACAAACAAAACGAACAATAACTTTTAAGTAACTCATTTTGAAGTATCTACACTCTTAATTTTTTGCAATTAAATTATTATATTAGAAATATATTAAGATCTGAAAATATATCCACCGCTTGCACTTCATCCCTTTAGCAATTCTCCTTTTAAATTTACCATATAGAAAAATTTTAAAACTTTTACATGTATATACCATATAGATATAGATATAATTATAGTCGGTTTTTATTTTATTATAGCTATTGTTGTTGTCTAAACATTTATTAATAATAACCAGAAATTAAAATGTATTACTTTTACTATACATTAAGACCGAAAAGTTTTCGGAAATTCTCATTTAAAATTCGCGCGCTGTATATTTTTCGATATTTTAAGTTTATGTAGTTTGGCAGCACTGTCCTTAATTACTATGCCAAAAATGAGCGCGATCTGTCAGACAGTTCGTTTACGGCAGCTGTTGAAACCAGTTCACCTCAGTAGGGCGTTGCGAAAAAAACAATGGAAAAAAATATTGAACAAAGAGTTTGCATCAAATTTTGTGTTTCGAACGAAATTTCGTGTGCAGAATCGTTGCGAATGCTACAAAAGGCTTATGGGGAATCAGTTTTATCGAAAACTCAAGTTTATGAGTGGTACAAAGCCTTCCAGGACGGTCGTACGACCGTCGAAGACATTTCGCAACGCACTACTGAGGTGAACTGGTTTCAACAGCTGCCGTAAACGAACTGTCTGACAGATCGAGCTCATTTTTGGCATAGTAATTAAGGACAGTGCTGCCAAACTACATAAACTTAAAATATCGAAAAATATACAGCGCGCGAATTTTAAATGAGAATTTCCGAAAACTTTTCAGTCTTAATGTATATAGTATATCCTAATCAACATGTACATACATAAAACTTTCATTTACATACTATATAATTATATATCAAAACATTTCTAATTAAAATAATATCAAATATATAAATTATTTGCCTTGTATGTTATTCCTTTGTAGTAAATTCTAGTGTTGGGAGAGCAAATATGTATTTTAATTTTGTACAGATACATTTGATTATAATATACATTTATATACGCATACGAACTTAATTGTCCATATACATAAACGTTAGTATAATTAAATAATAAATTACATTTTTTGTGATAAATTGTTGTTACTCATTACATATTGCATTAATAGTAGTAATGTGTTATAAATTTAATTAAATAAAATTGCATAATAAAAACAATTTAGAGCTTAGCAACTTTCTAAAAGTAATTTTCTAGTTAATTTTTTTTTTGTTTCTATCAGTGGTTTATGTACTCGTAAAATAATTATTATCACATTTTATGCCGTTTGTCACAAGTATTCAAATTTTGTATTTAAATAAATTATAACAATATGAAACTATATATACATGAAAGTATATGCAAATTGCTGTAAAATTATTATTCTCAGTTTAATTGGATGTTTGTAATTTGTGAAATGTGGAAAAAAATTAATAATAAAATATAAATTAGAAAGTAAATGTAAAATACTCGATTGGTTTAATAATTCATATGAAATCAGTTGGAACATATTGGGTTATATTTACTCTTGTAACAGTGTACAATAACCTATTCCTCAAATATAAAAAATTTTATAAAATTTATTTTATTATGATACGTGATTATCTTAACCTTATAAACAAAGAACTAGTTACTAATGGTTACCTGAAATAGGAACCTATTAAGTGGCATAATGAAAAAGCCAAGCCAAAGTTATAAATAAATCGGGTAGTTTGTTAGTTATTGGATAGAACTGATGGTCATCTGTAGTCTTAGCTTTCTTCTAACTATACATTTCCTCTTAAACAAACATGCACAGAAAATTAAATTTTTAGTTAAAGACCTCGCCTGTTTGTACTAAGAAGAGGAGTGAGAATGGTCAATTTTTTACTTAATGTACACGTGTCTAGCTTAATCAACGAGAAAATCGACATCACAATTGATATATTATATCAAAATGTGATAACGAAATACTTGTGATATTCACATAGAAATTAAAAAAGTTGAAGTGATGCAGGTAATGTAAGAAGTGGCAATGGAATGCTGGAGCCAAGTTTCCTTTATATTTCATTCTAACAGCTCCAAACAGCTCTCAGAATTATCGACAGAAATTTGTTTTTGGTCAATTGTCAGCAAACCCGGCACCCACTTCAAACAGAGCTTCTTTCTCATAGATAATGTTCATGCAAAATTAAGTTTATACGCTTCTTTGAAATTTTTAAGATGTCAACTAATTAGCTATCTCCTGCAACTTCAGTTAACGACTTGTCAAAACGATTTTCTGAATTTTTTGATATATTCTGATGTCATCACCTCTTTTAAGCGACTAACGCTTTTACCATCATTGCTGTTTGTATGACAGACCACTTTTCTATAATTTTTTTGGACGGAGTAGAGTCCGAATAGCACTTATCAAGCCAGTTTTTTTGCCGTCACGGTAGTTTTTCCCATTAAAAAATAATGATAAGTCAAGACATGAAATTGCTTTGAATCCATTGTTCTGAAAATATAAATAGTAGCATCAATAAAACAGCTATAACTAAATGATAAGTTTAAATGTCATGGTTTCCGTTGAAAGTTGCCGCTTTTAAAAACTTGAATGGATTTTTCATTGACTGCAATGTCAGTGTGTTATCCTACGCACATATCAGTAGATGTGTTGTATGTGGTTTTCATCGAATTTGTTGCATATTAACTTTTGCATCTAATATATTTATTGTATTATATTGTAATGCTAAAGATGATGTAGTTGAAATGAGAAAAATATACTTTAAGCTAACTTATATGCGAAGTTAGATAAAAGTAGTAGTTTTCTAATTTTCTTTTTTCCTTTGAATTGCATATGTATGTATTTAGCTTAAAATACAACAAATGTGATTTATATAGTTTTTTTAAATAAATTATATTATGAACCGACAACCTTAGTTAGCTTGTATATCGGAAGTTTTTATATTCTTTGTATAAGATGCATACTATCAGTACAAAAATATAGAGAAGTGGTGTCCAGAATGCTATTATCAGTATACTTATGATTTTGTGTTGCATTAAAAAGTTATAATACATACAAGTAAAAAAATATGCCACCAATATATATATAGACTGAAGAATTCGTAAACAAGGTATAGTGATTGGCTCATACTGTTATTTTCATAAAATTTTATCCTGTTTTTTTCAGAATTCAGATTTATTTGATTTTTTTTTAATATAAACCTCAATATAAAAATTAATTGAGAAAAATTACATGAAACATATCCATTTTTAAAAATAATTTTGCTAATTATTTTATACAAAATAATTTTATATCAAGCAATTTGTATATATAATATTGTATTATAAAGTATTACTTTAATTTATATATATATATTTGCAAAAGTTTTTTGAAAATAACGAAAAACAATTACTTGAAAGTAAATGATTTTTTTAGTGGACACATTTTCTTTTCTGGTTTTATTATTGCAGGTTTCAGACACCTATTAAAGCGTTTGCCTGCCTGACAACAACAAGGTAAGCAACTATTACTTAAGACAGTAGCTAATCTAGTTAGTAAATATTTACGACTAATTAATTTATTTATTTTTAAATATTTAAGAGTAATTAATATGCGAACTTTATAAATTAGCAATTTTTTTTATTAATTTATATAAAAAACTTTAATAATATGTAAATAAATGTCATTAATATTTCTAATTAAATATTTTTTCTCTATGGTATATTAAAAGAAGGAAAAAACTTGATTATAATTTGTTTACCTAACAAACTATTGCGTTTTTTTTTTAAATAAGGAAATATTTATTTATATTGGTTATAATATTTATATACAGAAATAAACAGACAATTTGCAATTATTTTAGATTATTATTTTTTCTTCTAATGAAACACTACTCTTCTGCAGGAAGTTAGGTAATTATGATATGAGTTTCTGTTACACGTTTTTTTATGAAATTGACCATATATGTGAATACACCACACCCGTACAAATACACCACTAACACATGACAATTATAAACTGTATGGAACGTATAAATTATTCAATTTAATGAATTTAAAATGTAATTTAAATTTAAATGGCCGGACTTTAACAATTAATCAATTTCTAATTTATCAGCAAAATGAATGGCTTTTCTAATAGCAATTTTACACCTTCGGTTAATTGTGTGCTATTTTATTTTATTAAACAACTAACTTTGAGTTATGTACTTGCTACTGCCTCACCATCAGCCATACCACCACTACATAAGCGTCACATACTGCAAGCAAATGCAGCTTAAATTAATTAACAGACAACACGCATAGCACAGCACAAAATTGTGCTAAACTCAAGTCAAAACAAATGCAGTAGTGCGAACATAAAAGTGGGGTGCAGACTATCATACTGGTATGTCATACGAGAGAGAAAAACGTCGTATGACACACAGGTATGATAGTCTGCCACCTTTACCAACGTGTTGGCGTGCTCACCAAAATTTTGGTGAACAGCTCTCGCATACGCGTTGTGTATGATAGTCTGTCACCCCTAACGATTCATACGTCATACAAGAGCATTTTAGCCTTGCAAATTTATTGTAAGCAGGTGGAATATGTAGAATTATAATATAAATTTAATATTTTTTTTATTATGTTATTATTAATGTATTTATTATTATTATATTTATTATTATTAAAATTACACTTATAAATTTGTGTTAAATATTTAATTGTATCTTAGTTAAAAAAAATATAAATCTTTACATAAAATTCTTATAAAAAATTAAAATACAATTAAATATTTTATGTAATATATTAAATATTTTATTTAATTTATTAAATATTTTATTTTCTTTTATTTTAATTTATAAACGATGATTATAAGTAAAATTTTTTTTAAAATAGCATCTATATATAAACATCGTTAAATTTATGATCTAAGCCCAGTAATAAAAAAACATATTGAAAATTGGTCGTAATAACAATTAATTAATAACCTAAATTTAAGACATAATACTTTGTATTCTAAATATGCTTTTCTTTGTTAAAACTTGTTATTAAAATAAAATAATTTTAAATGTTAATAACCTTTAACTAACAAATATATGGAAATGATCAAATTTCTTCAAAAACAATGAAGATATATACATTCTTATGTATATATATATATACATTATTTGTATGATCTATTTATGAAAAATTTCTTAAGAAACTTCACAGGTAGTGAATGAAATTAACTACGGTCCTTTACTGATCTTTTCATTTTAACTACTGTGCTTAATGACCAATAAACCTAAAAAAAATATGAATATGGATGCAGATAAAGCATTTTTAGATGCTTTCATCGAATGTTAATAAAAGTAATCGCTGTTTGTGGGATGTCCAAAGCTGTGAATATAAAGATCGCAAAAAAAACGCGGCATATATAAAATATACAAAATTATAATCAATTATAAGCAAAGCACAACCTATACGTTAACTATCAATTTTTTCAATTTTAAAATTTTATTTTAAACACACAAATTTTCACAGCACTACCCTCAAAAGCACTCTTCAAAAATTTTGCCTACTCTTGTGTGTCATACCTGTTCAAATTCGGTCGCTAGAAGAAATTTGAGCAAGAGAGAGCGCAACTCGTATGACACACCAGTATGATAGTCTGCACCCCACTAAACACTGTTAAAAACACAGCAACAACAACACCAACTATTTCAACAAAATACAACAAAACTGTTACAGCAATATGTTAAAAGGATAAAAGTACTTGTTTACAAAAATAAAAACAAAATTAGTAATAAAAGCCAAACAACAAAAACAGAAATAACTGCTGCCAACTATCTATGTTATTTGTACCAAGGTTATACATGCAATTTAAAATGTTATTATCAGTGGTTTGTTAGGAACTGCATAGTTTTTTTTCTTAATTGTATTGTTATATTGTTATTTTGTTCATTCTTATTGTTTTGTTATTGTTTCGTAATTATTTTCTTATTTTCGTTATTATTTTATATAACATTTTCTTATTTTTTCTTATTATGGTTGCTGATTTAGATAATTTAAAAAAAAACACAGTATGTGTTTTAAGTTTAGATGAGCAACGCAGCATGTTATTTAACAAAATGATTTTACGTTAGTAAATTTTGTGATGGTACTAAGAAAATATGTGAGGGTGTTGATTTGATTGACAGATGAAGTGCTTGTGATTTTGGGCTTGTTACTAAATATAACATTATTGTAAAATATTATTAAATCTTGTGGTTAAAATTTGTGGTGTTTAAATTTTTTACCCACATATTTTTAATAGTTATTGATTATTGTCTTTAAAGAGACTAATTTCTAAATCTGATTTTAAAGAAATAAATAAATATTTTAGAGTTGAATTTAATATAAATTAAGTGTTTCCGATATAAATAAAATTATATTATTTATTTCAATATATAATATAATTTTATTATAAATAAAATATAATTTATATCTATATATATAATATCTACAACAATTTGGTAGCAAAAAGGGTTGCATCAACAATATTGTAAATTAATTACCTGTAATTACAAACAGTTTACATTGTAATTCATAATTGTACAACGTTCAAGGTGTGTGCATTTTTGTTACTATGTTGTTGTTATTGTTGTTTTTGTTGGTGTTGATAATGAAGTTGTCCATTACGTTATTGCAGTTGTGAATTACGTTTAATGTAAAGTCCAACATGCAAATGTGTCGTATGTCACATTTTACTTACATGCTACATACTTTACTTTACGCAGCGTAAAAGAAATATATTACACAAAAATCGCTGTACATTTTTTTGTGTGTATTAACTAGAAAAGTTTTTATGTTAGAAATAAAAATGTTATTTAAAAATAAATAAATACAATGATAAAAATCTGAAATAGTGACATTGATAAAAACATGTTAACAATTGCGTAGCGATATAAGAATTTAGTTTAAATAAATAATATTTCAATTTGTTCATTCACATAAAATGCTCACGCCAACACCGCTGTATTTTAACAGTTATATACATTCAAACAGACACACTTACGTTAACATTCTCATTTTAATGTTACTGTACGAGAGCTTACAGTACAGAACAGTTACTACACAAAACAAGACAAAACAAAAAAAGCGCTGAGTAGCCATTTGCGGCAGTAAAACGATAATAAAATTTGCATACGTTAGCATGAAAATGAAAGGTGAAAAAAATTATACACAGGCAAATTGTTTACAGTCTCCTTACTTTCCTATGCAAGTGTCAAAGTTTGCATTGCATTGCGTGCTTTTTACTTTTGTCATTTAGTCCTTTTATATTTGCTAAGCTATGTGTGGGCATAATATGGCTTATAAATATCTGGTTTTTCTTTTTATATATAATTAATTATATAATCTTGTTTTTAGTAAAAGTGTTAACATAAAATTTATCAAAACTCTGTTTTTGTACAGAATATATATAGCATTAATCAACGATATTAATTTTACTGTAGGGACGTAAGTGACATTTCAAATCTGTTTTTCATTTTTAAATAAATTTTTAAATTATACGTAAAATTATATATTATTTTATATAAATTATATATAAAATGCAAGTCAAAAGATTTTGAATATTTTTAATTAAATATTTGTTGATGTAGCAATTTTATCATAGTATTTTTATTTTTAATTTTGCTTATGTTTTGTAGTACATAGAAATTGTAAAAATTTCTTAACATTATTAGCCATTACCTTTTTTTTGGTATCGAACCTGGAGGAAAAATTTTCAAAAGATATAAATGTCTCATACTATTTGCATTCCCGACTCAATTAAGCCATACATGCCTACGGACTAAAAAGTTCCTACATTCTCAGTTCAAAATACTGGAAATCCATACAGTACGACAAGTTAAGGTATGCTCTTACAGGGCAGATTAAAAGAGCACTTAGCGTGCTTTCACTCCGTTTGTGTACTAAGTATTTCGTCCGTTTTAACAATTTATAGTTCTAGAGATTATGCACTTGTTTGAAGAGTGAAGAGTGGAGCCTTACCACTCTTCAATGCTTGTCAACATCTGCATTACTATAGTAGAAAGGCTGGCTTTACCAATTAGTGTCTCTAGATTTTGTCTACTATCTACGAATCTTATACAGTCTTTAATTATATGGTCTGGGCTCTCAATTTTATCTGAACAAAACTAGCAGTATGGGTTACTTGCCAGCCTGAACCGGTATAAGTATTCACGGAAGAAACCATGCCCCGTAAGAAACTACGTTAATTGGAGTCCTAAGTCTCCAGATCCTCGGTTAAACCAAACTTAAATATTTGGAATTAACGAATAGAATATTTGGAATTATTAGTCATTACCTGATTCTTCGAAAATGTTACACTCTGTGTCAATCGATGTACTAGACTGCATTCATTTATTCTGTCATTAAACTGAATGATATCTGTTTAATCCGCACATTTTAGTGGTCATTTCTTAACTTAAATACATTTATTAAAAAATGCGAAAGTAAAAGTGCTGACATCAGCAAAAATAAGGTAATTAATAACATAATAACAAATA